CTTATAAGCGCCATTCAATTTACAACAGCGCTATATATATATATTGTACATCCACATCATCAGTCTTCATACATTTCACTTACTGTGGTGTGGAAAGATTCGGGGAGAGAGCAAACCTAGCAAAAAAATTTTGTTTTTTTTAGTATGGGGGTTAAAGGAAAGGTGGAGTCAAATAGTTGTAGCAATTGGTGGACCGCTCTCCAATAAGGGGACAAAGAGAAGGCCCATGTATGAAATCCCTTCTTCAGCTCTGTGCATACCAAGGATCATGGGGGGCTCTTGTCCATAATTGGGCGTGGTACTGACACCCCCCCAGATGATCCACATTGGCTCACAATTTATATGATCCAGAAATATTTAGACAGAATAAAGGTGAATAAAGCCCCTGGACCGGATGGCATACACCCACGGGGGCCTTAAAGAATTCAGCTCTGTCATTTCAAAACCATGTTTCTCATTTTTAGGGACTCTTTAATGACTGGCATAGTACCACTGGATTGGTGTAAGGCCAATGTGGGGCCAATATTTATAAAGGGGACAAAATCTTTCCCAAGTAATTATAGACCTGTTAGTGGAACTTCTATAGTTGGGAAGATACTGGAGAGTTTAATAAAAGACCACAGAGAGGAGTTCTTGCTGGAAACAAATATTTTAAACAACACACAGCATGGATTCATGATAGACAGAAGTTGTCAAACAAATCTGATTTCTTTTCATGAGGAGATGAGCAAAACTTGGACAGAGGGGTGGCGGTGGACATGGTACACTTGGACAGAGGGGTGGCGGTGGACATGATATACTTAGACAGAGGGGGGGCTGTGGACATTATATACTTGGACAGAGGGGTGGTGGTGGACGTGGTATACTTAGACAGAGGGAGGGCTGTGGACGTGGTATACTTGGACAGAGGGGTGGAAGTGGTATACTTGGACAGAGGGGTGGCTGTGGACATGGTATACTTGGACAGAGGGGTGGCTGTGGATGTGGTATACTTGGACATTGGGGTGGTGGTGGATGTGGTATACTTGGACAGAGGGGTGACGGTGGTGGACGTGGTATACTTGGACAGAGGTGTGGCGGTGGACATGATATACTTAGACAGAGGGGGGGCTGTGGACATGGTATACTTGGACAGAGGGGTGGTGGTAGATGTGGTATACTTGGACAGAGGGGTGGCTGTGGACATGGTATACTTGGGACAGAGGGGTGGTGGTGGACATGGTATACTTGAACAGAGGGGTGGTGGACGTGGTATACTTGGACAGAGGGGTGGCTGTGGTATACTTGGACAGAGGGGGGTGGCTGTGGATGTGTGGTATACTTGGACAGAGGGGTGGTGGTGGGACGTGGTATACTTGGACAGAGGGGTGGCTGTGGTATACTTGGACAGAGGGGTGGCTGTGGACGTGGTATACTTGGACAGAGGGGTAGGTGTGGACGTGGTATACTTGGACAGAGGGGTGGCTGTGGACGTGGTATACTTGGACAGAGGGGGTGGTGGTGGACGTGGTATACTTGGACAGAGGGGTGGCTGTGGGACGTGGTATACTTGGACAGAGGGGTGGTGGTGGACGTGATATACTTGGACAGAGGGGTGGATTAAGGATAATTAAGGATAGAGAGGGCATACTTGTTGCATCCTGTTTTTTAAGGTGGGCAGGAAAGGTGGCGATAGCTCATATGGTGACGATAGTGCATAGGGTGTTTTAACTTGCACCGCTGGGCTGGTATATAGGTTTTGGATTACCCTTAAAAAGGGGCTTTTGAAACCCAAATAATTAAGAGTCTTGAAGGGAAAGGGCCAGCTAAGACAATCTAAGCAAAAGAGTTAGACGGATGTCTCTGTTGGCTACGTCAAATAGATCAATCACTCATCTGTTGGAATGGAACAAAGCCCACCTGGTCTTCATGTATTAGTGAAGGAAGGACTCCATTTAATCCTAATAGAAAGCAACTTAATGAAGATCTTTAAATCTGAATTCGATAAGGAGATTGGCCTGTAGTTGGTGCAAAGGGGTATGGTCTTTGGCTTGGGTATCAAGGTAAGAAAGGAACACTGCATGTCCAGAGAGATAAGGCTCTTATGTAGAAAGCCATTGAGCAATCAGACCATATGCGGGATAGTAAGGAAGGTCTTCTAATACTCATAACCATCTGGTCCAGCTGCCTTATGGTTGGGGAGTAACTTTGGACATACTGCTCTCTGCCAAATGTTGTAGAGGCAAAGCTGGTGGGTTATGTGGGATATCTCCATTATTGTACAACAGGGAATAAACGTCTCTGAATAGTCTTACAATTGAGGCTGGGTGCAAATGAAATGTCTTGTCTTTGTCTTTAATTGCTTGCTGTGCTGAAGAATGAACTTTGTCTTTCAGTTTATTGGCCAAAAAGAAATGGGCTTTATTTGTAGTAGACTTGCCGTAAACGAGTAAGAGTTTTCTCAACTTTTCCTAAGGCAAATTCTTTAAGGGTGGCACAAAGGTCTACCAATTCTCAAAGTTTGTGCAGTAACAAGGATATATGTAGGTGTGCTTAAAGAGCCCATATTTTCTGCTCTGTCTGAGCGCATTAGCATTTTTCTTCAAAGCAGACAAAAGAGAAATGCATTGACCCCAAAAGACCAGGTTATGTGCTTCCCAGACAATATTACTGAAACATTCAGGCTAAGATTCTCAACAAAACAAGTCCATATTGTTGATTATAATTCTACTTTGGAAGGTATGTGTTTGAGAAAAAAAATCATTAAGTTGCCAGTGAAAGGCTTTCAGTTTGGTAGCATCAAGGGACAGAGTCAGCAGGATAGGTCAACATATGAGCAAAATGGTAGCCATCTTGAGCATTCGTAATGTGGGGTTATTTAGAAAAAAATAATGTAGGCATGAATTAAGTAACTGTGGGTGGGAGTAATGCATAAACTGTCATTGTAATACACACCAAGAGTCGAAAAGAGCTTGTCTGGTAAGTTGGCAAATTAGTTGAGAGCTTTTTGAAGCTTTTTAGATTGCGGGGTTTGACTGCCCAAGGCAAGTCTATTCACCACCATTGAAAAAGTAGAATATAGCCCTTCTCTTATCATCATCAACATATGCTCCGTGTGAAACAGGTGATTATAAACTTGAGAGAGGAAATCAGTTTGATTGACATTGGGTGCATATAAGCTACACGGTTATTTCATGGGTTGACCAAATACCCCTCAGGATAATATAATGGCCCCTAGAATCTGTGGTCAAATCCACAAACTGAGGGCCTCACTTGATAAGGATGGTAACTCCCTCCCGTTTCCTCCTGTTTGAAGCTTGATAAGTATGTGAGTAATATCAGGATCAGGGGCGGACTGACAACTCATGGGGCCCCCGGGCAAAAGGGGATCATGGGGCCCCTGTGTCCTTGCCCAAAACTCAAAAAAGCCTATGAAAAAGGTACCAGGGGCATCTCATGGGGCCCCCTACTGACCCCGGGCCCTCAGGCGGTGCCCGAGTTTCCAAATGGTCAGTCCGCCCCTGGTCAGGATGCAAATGTGAGTGTACCGCTTTTATCTAAATGAGTCAGGAAAAATTCGATTCGCGTCGAATCCGAATATTAGCCTACTTCGGGTGCGCGAATCGGATTTTTCCCGATCAGCCGGCAAAAGTGTCCCTGCAGAGAGCTCCGCTATTTCTGACAGTTCTCTGACAGTTCCTTCACATGTACAGCGGTTGAAACATTGTATCTATTTGTTTCCATTTAGGATACAGATGTTTTTATTCGGAAACAGATACAATGTTTCAACCGCTGTAAATGTGAAAGTCAGAGAACTGTCAGAAATAGAGGAACTCTGCAGATACACTTTTTGCCGGTTTGGAATTATTCTTATTTTTTCATTTTCATCCTACTTCTTCTTCTTCATCCTCATCCTCAAGAAGAGGATGATGAGGATGAAGAAGAAGAAGAAGAGTAGGATGAAAATAAGAAGAATTCCAAGCCGGCAAAAGCCGGCAAAAAGTGTATCTGCAGAGCTCCTCTATTCTGCAGATACACTTAGAGGAGCTCTGCAGATACACTTTTTGCCAGCTTGGAATTCTTCTTATTTTCATCCTACTTCTTCTTCTTCTTCTTCCTCCTCATCCTCTTCTTCTTCTTCTGAGGATGAGGATGAAGAAGAAGAAGAAGTAGGATGAAAATAAGAAGAATTCCAAGCCGGCAAAAAGTGTATCTGCAGAGCTCCTCTATTCTGCATTCTTCTTCTTCCTCTTCATCCTCTTCTTCTTCTTCTGAGGATGAGGATGAAGAAGAAGAAGAAGTAGGATGAAAATAAGAAGAATTCCAAGCCGGCAAAAAGTGTATCTGCAGAGCTCCTCTAAGTGTATCTGCAGAATAGAGGAGGTCTGCAGATACACTTTTTGCCGGCTTGGAATTCTTCTTATTTTCATCCTACTTCTTCTTCTTCTTCTTCTTCATCCTCAGAAGAAGAAGAAGAGGATGAGGATGAAGAAGAAGAAGAAGTAGGATGAAAATAAGAAGAATTCCAAGCCGGCAAAAAGTGTATCTGCAGAGCTCCGCTAAGTGTATCTGCAGAGCTCCGCTATTTCTGACAGTTCTGTGACATTCCCTCCATACAGCGGTTGAAACATTGTATCTATTTGTTTCCTTCTCCTTCTTCTCATCCTTCTCCTTCTTCTCATCCTTCTCCTTCTTCTCATCCTTCTCCTTCTTCTCCTCATCCTTCTCCTTCTCCTCATCCTTCTCCTTCTTCTCATCCTTCTCCTTCTCATCCTTCTCCTTCTCCTTCTTCTCATCCTTCTCCTTCTTCTCATCCTTCTCCTTCTTCTCATCCTTCTCCTTCTCCTCATCCTTCTCCTTCCTCATCTTCAAGGGCATTTAAATTAAAGGTGCAGTGTTCTGCACTAATTTAAAGGCTCTCTGAAGCCTAGAAACCCTTTTAATAAGTTAAATTCGTAGCGAATTAATTTGCATCGAATCGAATTTCTTCCTCAAATTCGGCGAATCAGCTGAATCGAATTTTTGAATAATTCGCTCATCTCTACTTCTGAAGTGTCAGATGTCATTTGTAGTTAGAGTTTAAACCATTACCAAGGACAGAATCTTAATCATGATAAGATAGCAATTGGTGAGCAAAATAGAGATTAGGTATGGCAGCCTGGCAGAGCTACTCAAAAATGTTAGCAAGTGACCCCTAGGTGTAATAGCATATGTAGCACCCTCTAGTGTGCTACTAGTGTTTAATGTAGGTAAATTTTTTGTGGTGTGATCCATGGTAACTGTGTGTCTGTTATTAGGTTGGGTTGCTGCAAGGCAGGCTGGATGGCTCTACAGATGCTTCTGGAAGGATTGCTGCTTAGCCAAGAATCTCTGTTGCCAACACTGGCCTATTCCAGTGCAGATTCTCTTCACCTCTCACTGGGTCTACTAGGACCCTCCTGCTCTCTTTATGGCAAGTGGAGTGGGTCGTCAAGCACAGTCCCGACTGCCACCAGCAAGCCGATCCACACAGCCTAACTCCAAGATGGTTGCCGCAACACAGGGCCAGCCAGGAGAAGGATTGGCATGTGCTCCAGACGGTGAAGGTGAGAACACCTCAGAATGCTGTACAGCACACTCTCCCCCTGTCAGCGCTCCTTTACCTCCCAGGGACTCACCAGCATCCACAACCTGGTATACAACCAACCAGCCCTGACATGGCAGACATATTATGCCTCCATGGTAGACCTGAGGTATCAATTGCTGCTCTCTAAATTTTCTGAACTCTTGCAGCAAGGCCTAGCCTAGCAAGTAACTGCTGACATTAAGGCAGACATCCAGGGTTTAGTGTCAAGGTCCTACCTTTCCTCAGAGCTTGCTGCTCCATGTGCTGGCATCCATCTTAGGTTTCTGCAAAGCATGGTGGAAGCCTTTATGCTTTCAGGACTCTGTGGCTCCTCCTCCAGAAGGGTGTGGCTTATCACATTCAAGCCTGCTGTCTGCAGCTGCTCCTTGCATTCGTGCCCTGTATGTTCCTTTGCAGCAAGCTCTTGTTCAGCTCTCGTTGCTCTACTGGAAACTGACCCAGCTTTGTCAAGACATTTCTCTGCCTTATCCCATTACCTGACCTCCCGTTGCTGAACCCTGCCCGTGACCTGAGTATTCTTGCCTACCGTCTTGTACTGTCTGCTCCGCTGTTATCGACCCGGCCCGTCCGACCACGCTATACATCTTCCCATCTGGCTCCCACCAGCTATATACACCATTAGCGGCAGCCGTTACTGCAGCTTGGGTTACAACCTGGTCTCAGGCTGCGTCAAGTCCATCCCCACCATCAGGGGCCCTGGTGAAAGGCAGCCTGGGGCTTAGACTCTCCGCGCCCTGAGGGACTCCGGTCTGTGGGTGGTGGCTGTCGCCAGTCGGTGCGTGACCTTACCATAAGGCCTGCCTGTCCATTCCCCAGCTCCTGCCCTGACAGTTAGGTACCAGGGTCGAGGCTGTTGAGACAAAGCTGCAATTGACCATTACCTGTACTAATCAGCATATGCAATGTATTCAGGACGACCTGGAGAATCATTCCAGGCATTATAACTTTTGGATTCGTGGGATACCCACTGAATGAGTTGTCCACTCCTTCCTTCATGACCTGTTTTCCTGACCACTGGTTGCTGGATAGGGTGCACAGAGCTCTTCAGGCTCCACGCTCTGATGGCCTCCCACGTGACATTATCATGAAAGCCTTTAGATCTGCTGAGGCCCTGCTCATCCATGCACACAAGGTACAAATCTTCGCTGACATCTTGACTTGCACTATATGGAAGTGGCATGCCTTAAAACCCCTTCTACAAGCAATTACCTGCAAAGATGTCATATACTGGTGGACCTTTCCACTGCACCTTCATTTCTCATACCAGAATAAGTCCCATGCCTGCTCTACTTTTCAGGAAGGGGAGAAGTTGCTGCTCCATCTCGGGGTCAACTCACTGGACCCTCAATCTGCTTCCTCGCAAGGTCCGTCATATGTGCCCACTGATGATGCACCAGATCCTTGTCTGATCTCTCCACTCTGGTGATCACAAGGCACTAGCTGCTCCAGGAATGCCTGTCCACGTTGAAATCCTGCTGCTGCCCAACAATGTTATTTCATTGGAGAACTTGGCTGGTCATCCTACTTGAATATTTCTGGACTTCCCAAATACCTGATTTTTTGTTTACTTTTAACTGAACCCCCTACCTTGTTTTTTGGGACTTTGGGGTTTTCCCCATTGCCTTGGATCTTTTTTGACTGTGTAATATTTGGGGGTTATTTAGCTCAGGATAGCGCTTACCAGTGAGTAGAGTCTGTGACGGGAGTCACTTTGGGTGGAGGGCCCATGGAACCCAGCTTACTTTGCTGAGGTTGGGAGACCCCCTGTCTCAGCTTCCCCTATCCCTCTTATGTGCAAGTCACCCTGTGTCTCTTAGGGGCACAGGGTGACTAATGGACGCTAAGAATGTGGTTGGAATTACTTCAGGTGGGACAGTAATATTTATCAGACATATGAAGACTATTCCTGGTTGATGATTCTGAACTAGACATGTGAATTGAAAGAGCTGATCACCTGGCCTCTCCTCTACTCCAGTGTAGGAAAGACTGCATTGGATCTATGTTAGCCGCAAAACTCAGCCCTAAAATACCACTGTCTGCACCCTCCAAAATACATTGCTTGTCTGGTGCATATACCCAACATCTGCAGAAGGTAGAGTTTCACAGATTTTATTCCAAACACTATCAGTCTATTACTCCTGTAGACTAGGACAGCTAACTGTCTTTTCTTTCTTTGGTCCAGATCCCAAAACTAGCCGCAACCCACAAGGAGTTAATAGACTCACCCATCACAGCAAAAGAAGTCCTCCAGGCCATTAAGCCGGTGAAGCCTGCCTGTCAGGAATGGACTTGCCAATAGTGGAGGGACTCACCTGCCTTGTGCGCTGCAGTACCAGGGCTGGCCAGCGGGTGCTCTCAACAACCAGAGGTTCACTTCGGCAATTAGCCATCACCTGGGGCTGATTGCAGGTGGTGTATTTAAGGGATGGCCAGACCTGCAGTCTGTGCCTTGGTGTGTGTTTTTCCATGGGCCCCTGTATCTTGTAACCTGCATTCCTGTTCCTGCCTGACTTGTTGCCGACCCTGCCTGATCCTGACCTCTGCTGACTTCTCCTGTTTGATCCCTGGCTTGTGACCCCGACCATTCTCTGCCTGACCCCCTGTACCTACCTGTCCGTTAGTTGCTGTACCCGGCTCGTGACCTGACTACTCTCCGCCTGCTTCTCCTGTACCTACCTGCCCGATAGTTATCGACCCGGCCTGCCTGACTATGTTGTGCTCTATATGTGTATGTACCTGTGTATCTATATCAGTTTAGGTTTGGGTTTGTTTCACCTTGTTGTATGTATTTGTGTTAGCTTGGGGTTTGGTGCACTGCGTTTATGTTTGTATTGTTAGTATTAATAAATTGTCTTATTTATACCATATCTGAAGCCTGCGTTTCCCTGTGTCAGTCCACACACTTCTGGTCACACCCGCATCCCTGACACTGCCTCGGCATCTGGCCCCTATGCGTTCTCTGCGGTATACTACCAATAATTTGCTAACACTCCAGCTTCCGATTTGGAGAGGTTCTTCTAACTCCCTGCTGGGCCGGTCATTACCTCGACCTGGACATGAATACTGCATTTATTTCAGTGATCCCGAAACTGGGGAGAGACCCCGATGAGGTCAAAAACTATAGGCCAATTTTCTTAATAATGGTCTCAAGTTGCTTACCAAAATTTTGGCCAACAGACTTGCATCATTTATAAACACCTATAACCATAAGGCCCAAGTGGGGTTTATCCCTTGTAGACAGGGTCCAGACCAGGTTTGACGTTTGCCTAATCTTACTTCTATATTGCAATCAGGGTGGGCCGGGGAACAGACCCAAACTGGTATACTTTTTATCTATTGACCTTCAAAAGGTTTGTGATTGTTTCTTGGCCATACCTTTTTGGGCTGTTGGAAGAATGTGGTTTTGGAACCAACTTTCTTACCTTTTTCCGAATGCTCTATGCAAACCCAGTAGTGAAGGTAAGGCTTCCATTCCGACCCTATCAAATCGCTAGAGGTACTAGACAGGGGTGTCCCCTATCTCTGTCTGATTTCAAATTTCTCAGTAAAAATGATTGAAAGTAAAAATGGTTTATTTTCCATCAAAATGTTCACATAGGTAAAAAGGTGCATGTTTCCAATACTGAAGATCACGGAATGGGCACTTCCAGTTCCAAGGTCACTATTAGACATCAATTCCTGACATGCTTCACCCATAGACTTTATCAGAGGACACAGAGATGGGGGTGTTGTAAAGTTTTATCAGACCCATTTTGATATATGTGAGAAAATTTGGTAAGAGTCTGGGGGGAGTGAGTAGCAGGAGAATACTCACGTTTGACATGTACATATATAGCTGGACAGTATAAATTTTATTGAATGTTGAGGATCAGCCATGGAGTATATCTGAGGTGTATATCAGGGTGTGCTTCTTCCCCACAAGAGAGCTGGGATGTCCAGCAACATTCATCTAGGAGACATTTCCCACACTCAAGGCACTAATACACCACGAGGCTTGTGTGGGACCCCTGATGTACAGGAAGACAGGACTTCAGTGAGTAACATTTCCCTCACTCAGGACAGGAAAGTGGCTTCTCCCCCGTGTGAGATCTCTGATGTCTGCAAAAGACTGGATTTTACTGAAAAACATTTCCCATGTTTAGGACAGGAATATGGCTTCTCACCCGTGTGAGTTCTCTGATGTGTGTGAAGACTGGCTTTGAATGAAAAGCATTTCCCGCACTCAGGGCAGGAATATGGCTTCTCCCCCGTGTGCAATCTCTGATGTGATGAAAGACTGGACTTCACTGAAAAACATTTCCCGCACTCAGAACAAGAATACGGCTTCTCCCCTGTGTGAAACCTCTATGTATGTAAAGATGCGACTTGACTGAAAAACATTTCCGGCACTCAGAACACGAATATGGCTTTTCCCCCCGTGTGTGAAACCTCCTATGTATGTCAAGATGCGACTTGACTGAAAAACATTTCCCACACTCAAGACAGGAATATGGCTTCTCACCTGTGTGGAGCCTCTGATGTATTTGAAGATTAGATTTTCGTGAAAAAATTTTCCGCAGTCAGAGCAGGAATATCGCTTCTCCCCCGTGTGAATTCTTTTATGCACATTAAAATTGGATTTAGAACGGAAACCCTTCCCGCACTCACTACAGGAGAAGCTCTTCCCTGTTGGAAGGCCGGCCCAGTCCCCCACAGTCTGAGGTTCCTCAGGATATGAGGAATCCGATGGTCCATCTACACTGGGTGGTGCCGGATGGACATTGGAGGGAGCCGGGTTTTCTCCTGGACTATACTGTGTGATGTCCTCATCTTCTACTTTCCAGTCTGGAGACAAAGTGAGACAATCCTCGGAGGTTTTCCTCATCTCCGGCCATGGACTAAAATACAAAGACAAAGAGGATTACTAGACAGGAGCTGATTGGTTCCCCCAAACCAGGACTCCGCCCACATCAGGCAGCTTGGTCTCTGAGGAGCTTACAATTCCACCCTCAAGGGAACTAGGAAATGGCTCCTCTGATCTCCTACCAGGTCATTTCTTTATTCATGGACCTTAGTCAGAGAGTGAGGAAACAACCAGAACTGTCTTTTATAGGAGGGACAGTGATGAGGGGATTATAGGACGAGGGTCCCCACCCCCTCTATCACTCATCGCCATCTTCCCAACACAAGAAGTACTGCACTTCCTTATTTAGTCCATGATTTAGTCATGAAGAACAGCGGGGCTGAGCCCCACCAGAGGTCAGAGAGTGAGGATGGGGGGAGAACAACCAAGATGAAGACTGGACTGATCCTGAAGACCACCATCATTGGGGTATTGACTCCTCCCTCATTATCACTTTCTGTTTAAGGGTCCAAAGTTGGAGGATGTTATCACATTATTATCACCATGTAAAAGTCTGTGCTCCAATCACATCATCCGATATAAAATGTCCAGCTGGGAGGAAATGGGTGTAACAAAAGAGAATCCATATTATGTGTATATATAGCAGTGGGGGGAGGGGGGAGAGCAGAAGTCAGGAGTATGGAATGTACAACATAGAGTATATAGTGCAGGGGTCAGGAGTATGTAATGTACAACATAGAGTTATAGTGACAGGGTGGAGGAGGTGTTGATCAGACCCACCTGTGCTGATGTCCTAGTCCCAGTTGTAATCCTCCAACATAGACTGCTGATCATCCCTCACATACAGGAGTATGTTGTACTTTAACATCAAGTATTCTATATCGGGGTCAGGATCTGTACCCTAAAATAGGGTGAAACAGATATAAACATCTGTGAGGGGTAAGCTTTAAAATTGTGACAATGTAATCATAAATAAATTATATATGCACAGAAAATCAGGAGTTTGTAATGATCCAACCATCCCACCAACCTTGTAATGAGAGGGATGGTGTGACCTTCCTGTGTGGAATCCCGGGAATACAGAGGACGGGGACATCTCTCTGGTGGGTTCCTGGTATTAGGTGGCTCCATCATATCCTTGTGTCCTTCTGAAAACTCCTCCATCACTCCATACTCCTCATCCTCCTCTTTATACTCTTCTTTAACATCAATATTATCATCCCCGAGGATTCCACTCTGAAAGATATAATAAAACATTCATTGTAACAAACATGCTGTGTATAAATCACAACTACCAATAATTGTCCTCATCATCTACCTGATGATGGTGAGGGATGGTGTGACCTTCCTGTGTGGAATCCCGGGAATACAGAGGACGGGGACATCTCTCTGGTGGGTTCCCATGACTGGATCCATCTGTAGGAAACACACACACTGACTGAATCCATTGTTTCTATGTGTTTATCAGATGATGGGGGATCTAGGTGGATCCTCCGTACTGCTCTCTCTTTACAATAAAGTCTCCTCTTACCCGGTGATGTGAGGGGCGGCTGATTGTCCATCATGACGTCCTTGAGATCCTTGTGTCCTTCTGAAATACTCCCATGCAACCTCCATGGGAGAAATAGACAGTTCAAGATACAGTCCATGACAACCTTATACTGAAACACACACAATGACAAGTCACACACCCATCTCTGCAGATCCCTGATTCTGTTACTGGACTGTCCCAGATCCCGGCAGACCTCCCTTCTCCTGTTACTGGAATCTTGTCTTTCAGAGGATCGAGACATTTATCTCTGGTTGTGTCCAGGAATACTACTTTAAGCTGGTCTCACCTCTCATTCATGCTCAGATGAGCTCTTAAAGGGATCCACTTTGCACTAATCTGGACCATCAATCAGGGGAATGTCTGTCTGTTTTCCCTTAACTATCTCTGATGTGACCATCCTGAGAAATGTCACCTCTCCGGTCATTCTCCATCCTCTCCCCATAATACTGTAATTCAACTCAATGTGGGCCCTCCCAGCAGAATCCTCAGAAGTCATCTCCGGTCAGGTAGCTCTTTATTAATATAGGGACATTGCCATTTATGTCATGTGACTCAGAATCCTCCTCACCTCTCACATCAATCCTTGTTTTATTGAGATCTCATGGCAAGCTTATCTGTGAGGGATTCATGTGACCTTCCTGTGTGAATCCTCCACAGAGGACGGGGGTCTCTCAGGTGGGTTTCAACATGAGGTCCAGATTGACAGGAAACACACACACTGACTGAATCCAGTGTTTCATGTGTTTATCAGATGATGGGGGATCTAGGTGGATCCTCCGTACTGCTCTCTCCTTTACAATAAAGTCTCCTCTTACCCGGTGATGTGAGGGGCGGCTGATTGTCCATCATGACGTCCTTGTAGAGATCCTTGTGTCCTTCTAAATACTCCCACTCCTCCATGGAGAAATAGACAGTGACACCCTGACACCTTATAGGAACCTGACACACACAATGATACAGTCACCATCCAGACACATCCCTTGTCTGTTACTGGAGAATGTCCCAGAATTCCCGGCACCGCTCACCTCTCCTGTCAGTAGCCCCATCATCTCTTGGTGACTTCTAGAATCTTCTGCATGTTGTGTCTCTCAGGTTTTAGGGAGTCACATGGAGGCACTGTGATGGTCATATGATCACCTGACTTCAGAAGTGGAAATCTCTGTATTGAGGAACCAATATCGGATTCCCAGAATCAACCTCTCCGGTCAGGTCTGTCAGAGATAAGAGTGATGTCATGTGACCCCAGAATCCTCCTCACCTCTCCGGTCAGGTCTGTGTTTTATTAATAGAGATAAGAATGATGTCATGTGACCTCCCAGAATCCTCCTCACCTCTCCGGTCAGCAGGTAGATGATCTCCAGGGTGAGGTTTAGTAGATCTTCTCTCAGTCATCAGTGTGACTCCGGTCCTCCTCCTCCTCATCCATCATGTGATCTCATACAGGTCTCCTACAGGTCTCCTTGTAGACGGATAACTTTGGGAAATGAAAGTAAGAATGATTTGGATGGTATTGGTCACACAATAATAGGATGTGGATGTGAGGGGGGAATAGGAGGGTTGCTATACAATGAAGGACTACTCCCCCCATGGGAAGACATTTAGTTGGACTGTTTAGTGACCCCTGCTACATCTTGGAGGTCCTGGGACCCTCTTGTTCTGCCAGATCAGAAATCCCCTTTTCCTCTGTTGGGTTTGTTTGGTTCTGAACTGGTTTTGAACTGAGTATTAGAACTCCTGCAAGAAAAGGAAGGTGAAGGAATGTCCTTCCTTCATGTTACTTGATAGTTCCAGAACTGAAGGAGCACTGAGAAGTGCAGGTGAGGACAATTAGATTGCCAGTTCCCTGTGGTGGAAGGGCAAGTAGGGGGGAAACTTCTCTCACAGACCCAGAGACCTCCCCTCCCTTCCTTAGAGACCCCTGAAGGCCTCCATCCTGGTGACCCTATTCCCTCAGAGTCCTTCAGCTTACTATCCCCTCAGGGCCCCAAAGTCTTTCAGTAACTAGGAACTCTGACAGCCCCTCAGCTCCTTGGAGTCAGACCCCTCAGGGGATTTCCTCCCTCCATTGACACCAAGATGGAACATATTGGAACATCATGGCAGGCTGGGGAATGTTTTCTTCCTCCTGACCAGCAATGTAAGGGGCTCTATGCTCCATACTCCTGACCCCGGCACTCCATCATTGTGTTGGCTGCATAGTGTAAATGATTGCCCATTGGCTGCCTGTGTAGTGTCATCATTGCCCTTTGAGGCCATGTATGGTCAGGATGGTCCTTGTCTTGAAGATGTTCATTGTCAGTGCTGTTTGTTTTAGAACCAGGGGTCTAAAATTTCTCCACAAAGGGGACCCAAAGTTTACTGTCCTTCAGGAACACACTTGGTAACTTGGTGTTCACTCCCCCTACTGGGAGTAGAAAAAATGTCCCTTTCTGGGGCTCAGGGGGAATAGACAATGGGTCATCATTGGTGTCAGTGAGAAGAATTGTGTACTTCATTGTTTGCGTCAGCGAGAGAACTGTGCCCCATCGTTGTTGTTATTGAGGTCTGAAAAGGTGCAGAGGAACGGACATGGCCTATGAGCCAAAGTCTCTTCATCAGAGGAAGGACCTATGCCAACCCTATCAGCCCCTTAGTTTGGCTGTACTCTACAGAGGGGGAAATTACCTCTGGTGTCAATTACCTGGACGAAATAGTGACTCCATGGAGATAAAGGAAGGACATGACTCATGGAGGCCCAGTTTTTTTCGAGATGGTTTGGAGGACCAATTACGGAAATTTATTCCATGGAGGAATGAGGAGAATGTTCCGGCCCCGGAAGTGGGGGGGGGGGAATGTTGTGACCCTGAAGGGGCAATCTGGGTTCCCACACTATATATGAGTGTATCATCACCTGCTGGAGACTATTCAAAGACGTCACAGTGACTATGGAGGAAGAGGACGGACGTGACTATGGAGGAAGAGGACGGACGTGACTATGGAGGGAGAGGACGGACGTGACTATGGAGGAAGAGGACGGACGTGACCATGGAGGAAGAGGACGGACGTGACCATGGAGGAAGAGGACGGACGTGACCATGGAGGAAGAGGACGGACGTGACCATGGAGGAAGAGGACGGACGTGACTATGGAGGAAGAGGACGGACGTGACTATGGAGGAAGAGGACGGACGTGACTATGGAGGAAGAGGACGGACGTGACTATGGAGGAAGAGGACGGACGTGACTATGGAGGAAGAGGACGGACGTGACTATGGAGGAAGAGGACGGACGTGACTATGGAGGAAGAGGACGGACGTGACTATGGAGGAAGAGGACGGACGTGACTATGGAGGAAGAGGACGGACGTGACTATGGAGGAAGAGGACGGACGTGACTATGGAGGAAGAGGACGGACGTGACTATGGAGGAAGAGGACGGACGTGACTATGGAGGAAGAGGACGGACGTGACTATGGAGGAAGAGGACGGACGTGACTATGGAGGAAGAGGACGGACGTGACTATGGAGGAAGAGGACGGACGTGACTATGGAGGAAGAGGACGGACGTGACTATGGAGGAAGAGGACGGACGTGACTATGGAGGAAGAGGACGGACGTGACTATGGAGGAAGAGGACGGACATGACGGGTTTTACTGGGTGTAAATAGGAAATAACATCTTATTACCTCCTCTGCTGCCACTTCCACCAATGTCTCCTCTCTCTTCTTCCTGGTATCACCTCTCAGATGACTCTGTCTGTTGCCCGGAACTTCCTGTCTGTGCCTGACATCACTTCCTGTCTGTACCTGACATCACTTCCTGTCTGTATTCCATAGAGAAGTTCCTGTCTGGGTGAGACATGAGTAAGATTTCCACCTTGTGGAGTTCAGAGGAACTGCAGCCCTGAGAAATATCCCCTAATAAAATAGCCATTGTATCTACCTTACAGAGATACCAGGGAGATCCAAAAATAACTTTAAAAAAGTAAGAAAAAATAAATCTAACTCTTATGCAACCAACTGTTTAACAAAATTATTTTACTACAGATAGAAAAGTCTTAAAGACACAGAACACAAGTTAAAAAAAAAGGTATACATAATAAAACAGATACCCCAAAACAGATCTTTTGGGAAAAAAATGCAAAAAATACATCTAAAGTATAAAAATATCTATATCAATCCACTCATAATGAAGATGTTAGACATAAATGACAAAATGTGCATGGTCACAGAGGAATGGTGGTGGAGATCTCTCAAAGTAAGAACACTTCCTTGAATGGTTCTATAAATAAAGAATGAATCCTGGAGGGAATAAAGCTGTAAAGCAATAAATAATATATAAACTGGGCCATCCACTTCATCCATAAAGACATTGTGATTGAAGATCTTCTAGATCACATAGAAGGAGGACTCATCCATGATTTCATACATTTGTTTGGAAGGATAGAACAATCCTCAGAAGGGAACATGTAGGATGACAGGAAAGGCTCCTGACTGGTGAGATCCTCCAAACATAATGATGACATCCATGAACTGGAGCGAGCTCGTTGGGGTGATAAAGCCAATCTGGAAACACTGTGTAGACGTTCTCCAAGAACTCAGCACACTCCAGGTGTGGAGAAAGTGTCATTTCTCATAGGTAGAAATGTCCACACAGGGACTTCCACAGGGACCCCCCGATACCACATACAGTATACAACTTCTACAATGTCCCCAGGTCTTTAGGTGGGTTTAGCTTGTAATTAATAATGCAAAAATGGGGGCACATGCGCGGCCGGCTCCAGGGATGGACGCTGTCAGAATGGACTTGCCAGTGGTGGTGGGACTCACCTGCCTTGTGGGCTGCAGTACCAGGGCTGGCCAGCGGTGCTATCAGCAACCAGAGGCTCACTCTTGCAATGAGCCATCACCACCTGCTGATTACAGCAGGTGTATTTAAGGAATGGCCAGGCCTGTGATCAGGGCCTTGATGACTTGGTGCCCGCTGTTGAGCTTGGTGACCCGGTGCCCGTGGTTCTGCTAGATGGCTCGGGGCCCGCTGTCGTGCCAGATGACCCGGTACCCGCTGTCGTGCCAGATGACTCGGTACCCGCAGGCTGTCGTGCCAGATGACTCGGTGCCTGCTGTCGAGCTTGGTGACCCAGTGCCCGCGGTTCTGCTAGATGACTCGGTGGCTGCTGTCGAGCTTGGTGACCCAGTGCCCGCGGTTCTGCCAGATGACTCTGTACCCGCTGTTCTGCCAGATGACTCGGTGCCCGCTGTCTTGTCAGATGACTCGGTGCCCACGGTCTTGCCAGATGACTCGGTGCCCACGGTCTTGCCAGATGACTCGGTGCCCGCTGTCTTGCCAGATGACTCGGTACCCGCTGCCGTGCCAGATGACTCGGTGCCCACGGTCTTGCCAGACTCGGTGCCCGCTGTCGAGCTTGATGACCCGGTGCCCGTGGTTCTGCTAGATGGCTCGGGGCCCGCTGTCATGCCATATGACTCGGTGCCCGCTGTCAAGCTTGGTGACCCAGTGCCCGCGGTTCTGCCAGATGACTCGGTGCCCGCTGCTCCGCCTGATGGTCCAGTGCCCGCTGCTCCGCCTGATGGCCCGGTGCCCTTTGGGATCTGCTCCGCCTGATGGCCCGATGCCTGCTGCTCCCGCCTGGTGACCCAGTGCCCACGGTTCTGCCAGATGACTCGGTACCCGCTGTTGAGCTTGGTGACCCAGTGCCCGCAGTTCTGCCAGATGACTCGGTGTCCGCTGCCCTGCCTGATGGCCCGGTGCCCGCTGCCCTGCCCACTGCTCCGCCTGATGGCCCAGTGCCCGCTGCTCCGCCTGATGGCCCGGTGCCCGCTGCCTTGCCTAGCTGCCCAGCCTGACGTGCCTCTGCCTGCTGTCCCACCTGACGTGCCTCTGCCTGCTTGTAGCTGGCCAGCTAAGACCAGTCCTAGGTTGTTAATATGGGTCACATATATGTGTATACCAAACCTGCCAATAACCTCAGTACAATATATGTGTGTATATGTTAAAGCCAAAAGCAGAATCATTGCTGTGATTTATGTCTTTGATTCTTATATGACATTTCTATATTCATTGTGTTAGCAGAAGCAGAAAAGAAAAATATGCCTTTAAGAGTTAGTATAAGGTGAGCCAATCACAGACAGCCTCACACTGTACAGTGCCTTAACCAATCCCAGCCAGTTTCACATTTATGCCTGTGTAAAACTCCCTGCTAGGATTTTCTAGAGACACTTGCTCACCAGACAGAGGAGGAAACAGACAAAGTTCCAATCAGAAAAGCTTTATGGAAGCAGAGCAGGCCAAATAGGTATTTAATGCACTTGTGTGTTCCTCTATTGTTTAACAGTGCAGGTAGATCTGTGTCTAAAATCTGTTGTATGTGTTTACTTGTAGTTCCACCGAACTTACGAATCAAGTCACTGTAGAGTAATCATAATCCAATCGAATCTATCGAACCTATCGAATTTATCAAGATAAGCTATCGAATCAACCCAATGTAATACGAATTAAACCATTGTAATATGAAACAAAACAAGCCATTGTAAGCCGTGTTATATGAAGAAGATTGAAGTTATTAAAGAAGTTAACTAAAGTATTCGGTGTGCTCTTTAAACCTACTGCATCCATAGAGCGGCATTGGAGGAATTACAGAGTAAAGTCAGTCTAATCAAACAAAGAAACAGCAATTGCATAATTTTTCTAATGCCACAGCGCACAAGGCACCAAAGGGTGCTGCGCCTGCCACACTGCTGTCCCGCCTGACATGCCTCCGCCTGCTGCCCAGCCTGACGTGCCTCCGCCTGCTGTCCCGCCTGACGTGCCTCTGCCTGCTGTCCCACCTGACGTGCCTCTGCCTGCTGTCCCACCTGACGTGCCTCTGCCTGCTGTCCCACCTGACGTGCCTCTGCCTGCTGTCCCACCTGACGTGCCTTTGCCTGCTGTCCCGCCTGACGTGCATCCGCCTGCTGCCCAGCCTGACGTGCCTCTGCCTGCTGCCCAGCCTGACGTGCCTCTGCCTGCTGCCCAGCCTGACGTGCCTCTGCCTACTACCCAGCCTGAGGTGCCTCTGCCTGCTGCCCAGCCTGACGTACCAGCTCCTGATGCCCATCCTGCTTCTGGAAATCCTGTGTCCAGCAATCTGCCTTCCTGCAGTCTCCTACAAAAAGATAGGCCTATCAGCAGGAGACCCATCCAATCACTTTATTCCGGCAGTGGGATGTCCAGCCAATTGCCGGACCCAGGCGGTGGAACATTTGGGCCATTACGGACTGTTCGGAGCGTCCTAAGGGCCGCTCCTTGTGGGGGGGGGGGTACTGTCAGGAATGGACTTGCCAGTGGTGGTGGGACTCACCTGCCTTGTGGGCTGCAGTGCCAGGGCTGGCCAGCAGGTGCTCTCAGCAACCAGAGAGGCTCACTTCTGCAATGAGCCATCACCTGAGGCTGATTACAGCAGGTGTATTTAAGGAATGGCCAGGCCTGTGATCAGGGCCTTGGTGTATGTTTCCCATGGGCCCCTGTACCTGCATCCTGTCTACTTTCTGCCTGATCCAGATTCTGCTTCGATCCCTGACTCCGAATGAACTCCGCCTGTCCTGACCTCGGCTATTCCTGACTACTCTTCTGCCTGCTCCTTGTGCCCTGCCTGCCCGTTTGCTACCGACCCGGCCCGCCCGACTACGCTTAGTATTGTTTCTATTGTTATCTGTTGGAGGTTTGGGTTGGTTGTGTTTGCACTGTGTTTTTGTTTTGTTTAGTCTTAATAAATTGTCTTATTCACACTATACCTGAAGTCTGCGTTTCCCTGTGTCAGTCCACACATTTCTGGTCATACCCGGATCCCTAACAGATGCTCAGTGAATAGAGCTACATCTCACCACCAGCCAGAATCCATAAAGACATTGTGATTGAAGATCTTCTAGATCACATAGAAGGAGGACTCATCGATGATTTTCATACATTTGGAAGAATAGAACAATCCTCAGAAGGGAACATGTAGGATGACAGGAAAGGCTCCTGACTGGTGAGATCCTCCAAACATAATGATGACATCCATGAACTGGAGCGAGCTCGTTGGGGTGATAAAGCCAATCTGGAAACACTGTGTAGACGTTCTCCAAGAACTCAGCACACTCCAGGTGTGTGGAGAAAGTCTCCAGGTGGGTTTAGCCTGTCATTTATCATAGGTAGGAATGTCCGCACAGGGACTTCCACAGGGGCCACCGATACTACATACAGTATATAAACTTCTACAATATCCCCAGGTCTTTAGGTGGGTTTAGCTTGTAATTAATAATACAAAAAATGTGGGGCGCATGCGCGGCCGGCTCCAGGGATGGACGCTCAGTGAATAGAGCTCCGTCTCACCACCAGCCAGAAACCGGCACACACTGGACCCAGCGGCTCCACGCTCACACAGGAAACATAAAGGGTCACAGCACCCTCCAGCACTATGACCAGCCACCGCAAAGCTTCAGGGCACCCAGGGAAACTGACAAGCTTCTTCCCAGCTCTCAGCCCCTGCAGCCAAGATGGCGCTGGCTGCATGAAAAGCAGTCTCCTCACACAGGCAGAGGAGAATACAGCACAGGCCACAAACCCCAGGCTCAAGGCACCACTGTACCCAGGAGACCCAGGTGAGTCCTCTCCTCCCCTGTCTCCCTTTACCAGCAGTCCTGCCAAATCCAGACCCAGACACAGACATCATTCCTGACACACAGCCTTCCTTTCCAACTACAATTACTGCAAATACTTCTCCATCTTTAATTGAAACCTTTCCTGCCTCTGACCAACCTATCACGGAAATTTCTATAAAAAATATGCTTCTTTTTCTGCGACAAACACTGCACAATGATCTGACAGCAACACTATCCCAAATCTCAAACACGGTACAAAAACAAGATTTCTGTATTCGCCACATTGAGAACAAAATGGGAGAGATGTTCACGGCAGACAATGATCTAAAAGATGCACATGCAGACCATGAAGCCAAAATGGAACAAATAAATCTTAAACTGGCAGATCTAGAAGACCGCTCCAGGCGGCCATAGTTCCTTATATCCAACAATTTATGAAGCACCTTATTCCTTCTCTCACAGACGTAGAGCTTGCCATAGATCGCGCACACAGAATTCCTAAGCTGTCATTCCTACCGCTGCAATACCCAGAGACACCTTAGCGTGTATACACTTCTATCACGTGAAGGAGAAAATAATGATAGCTGCTAGGAATTCTACTTCAATTCCAGCATCCCAAGTGAATATCAAATTATCCACTGACCTCTCAAAAGCTACACTCCTCAACCGCAAGAAGCTTGTCTCTATAACGAAAGCACTGTGGAATCATGGAATTGGATACCAATGGGGTTTCCCCACGAAACTTACCATCAAACATCAAGGAAGGCTCTACATCAGTGGTTCTCAACCTTTCTAATGCCGCGACCCCTTAATACAGTTCCTCATGTTGTGGTGACCCCCAACCATAAAATTATTTTCGTTGCTACTTCATAACTGTAATTTTGCAGTGGGAGGAATAGTGCCACGTCATTGGTGTCAGTGGAGGAATAGTGTCCCATCACTGATGTCAATGGGAGGAATAGTGCCCCATCATTGGTGTCAGTGGTAGGAATAGTGCCCCATCATAGGTGTCAGTGGGAGGAATAGTGCCCCATCATTGGTGTCAGTGGTAGGAATAGTGCCCCATTATTGGTGCCAGTGGGAGGAATAGTGCCCCGTCATTGGTGTCAGTGGGAGGAATAGTGCCCCCATTATTGGTGCCAGTGGTAGGAATAGTGCCCCATCATAGGTGTCAGTGGGGGGAATAGTGCCCCATCATTGGTGTCAGTGGTAGGAATAGTGCCCCATCATTGGTGTCAGTGGTAGGAATAGTGCCCCATCATAGGTGTCAGTGGGGGGAATAGTGATCCATCATTGGTATCAGTGGGAGGAATAGTGCCCCATCATTGGTGTCAGTGGTAGGAATAGTGCCCCAAGCATTGGTGTCAGTGTAGGAATAGTGCCCCAATATTGGTGCCAGTGGTAGGAATAGTGCCCCATCATAGGTGTCAGTGGGGGGAATAGTGCCCCATCATTGGTGTCAGTGGGAGGAATAGTGCCCCCATCATTGTGTCAGTGGGAGGAATAGTGCCCCATCATTGGTGTCAGGGAGGAATAGTGCCCCATCAGTTGGTGTCAGTGGGGGAGGAATAGTGCTCCATCGTTGGTGTCAGTGGGAGGAATAGTGCCCCATCGTAGGTGTCAGTGGGGGGAATAGTGCCCATCATTGGTGTCAGTGGGGGGAATAAGTGCCCCACATAGGTGTCATTGGGGGGAATAGTGCCCCATCCATTGTGCCAGAGGGGGAATAGTGCCATCATTGGTGTTCAGTGGGGGAATAGTGCCACCATCATGGTGTACAGTGGGGGGGAATAAGTGGGCCCCATCATTGTGTCCGTGGGAGGAAATTAGTGCCCCCATCACTAGGTGGCAGTGGGAGGAATAGTGTCCCATCATGTCATGGGGGAATAGTGCCCCATCATAGGTGTCAGTGGGGGGAATAGTGCCCCTTTTTGGGTGTCAGGGGGGGAAGCCCCCCCATCTTGGTTTCCGTGGGGGGAATAGTGCCCACAGGGTGTCAGTGGGGGGAATAGTTCCCCACTTGGTCGTGGGGGGAAAAGTCCCCCCTTTGGGTTCAGTGGGAAAATGGGCCCCCAAGGGTGTAAGGGGGGAGGAAAAGGCCCCCACCCTTTGGGTATCAGTGGGAAAGGAATAGGCCCCAAACCGGTTATGGGGATGGGCCCCCCTCTTGGCCGGGGGAAAGGCCCCTCTTGGTGCAGTGGAAAATTAGTGCCCATCTTGGTTAAGGGGGGAGGAATAGTGCCCCCATCTTGTGTCAGGGGAGGAATAGTGCCCCCTTTGGTTGGGGGGGGGAATAGGGGCCAAATTGGGTCATGGGGGAAAAAGTGCCCCATCTTTTGTCAGTGGGGGGGGAAATAGTGCCCCATCTTGGTGT